TTGTACCCCTAATAGGGCATCCAGTATGCGGCTATGCTCCTTTGGTGGGGCTACAAAGATAACCAGGCCAAGTAATAAATTTTTCACTCTGCACTTCTCGGCCTTTAGATGAGGAATGTAATTTTTGCTTTTTGGCACAAAAAATTCAAGAATATAGGCGCTCTCATCCTCACTCTTTGACCCCTTCGTTTGCTCAGATGGCTCGATTACTATCTTACTATCTAAACACAATGTGGAAAAATGATTGGAATGAGGTCTAATGCGCCTTAACTCATGAATTTTACTACTATTTGCATCCCCATATTTACACACACTCAAGTCTCCCAAAGTAATGTTATCTACTCCCTCATATGACTCTAGAGCACTCTTCTCAATATTGGCATCCTCAAGAAAAACATGGTCTAGTGATTGGTATTCTCGTTTTAGCTCCTCAATTTGGTCTAGAAGATTTTTTTCAGCTTCACACAACTCATTATTAAATTGTTGGGCGTTACAGGCATCAACCTTTGCACTCAAATCTGCATCTAAGTTATGCACAGCCAAGCTAAAATTATCAATTTTATGTGCAAGTTCATCTCTCTCCTTAGACCAATCATTCACCAACGTTGTTAGAAGACAACGTCGTTCCTCATATTCCCTTAATCGTGTATATTCTTCCCAATACCAACCCTTACTCCCATATTCAAATTCAGACCTCCAAGAAGTCAGGTCATGACAAGACCAAAAATACGAGCCATAAAAGTCTTTTGTCAACCAAGAGTCTTCATCAATAGCCTTACCTCCGTATATTTCATCCCCAGATGTCATGCTGAGAGAACTAGGAACACACTAAGAGAAAAATATCAAATATTTGTAAAAATAAAAGTATATAAAAAAAAGGATAAAATTTAAAGTCTAATCTAGAAAAATAGTTAATTTCTAAGTCCCCGGCAACGGCGCCAAAAACTTGTTGCTCCCAAACGCACACGCAAGTATACGCGGTCATCAAGTAATAAAGTGACTAAAAGTCGTATGTCGATCCCACGAGGACTTGTGATTAACTATTAACTAAATTAGACTATCCTAATTATCTATACAAGAATTAAACCTAGAAGTATTTGATTCTAAACTAATTAAAATAAATAAAAACAAATAATGAACTTTGGATAGAGAAAGAGCAGATTTTTATGATATCAATGTAATGACAACGATCTAGGGTTATGGGCTATCTAACATTCCTATTGTATTCTTCAATTGAATTGACTAACTAACTTATCGAGTTTATTGGTTGACAGGGTTAATATTGCTCATAAGAATCTGTCGAGTTCTTGCTCGCCTATTCAAGCTAACCTAACGCCTATATATCTATGGAGTTAGAATCAACAAGAACGCATTTATAATTCCTGTAAATTAACCAAGCAAGGCAATTAGGTATATGTTTATCCTAACCGCGAATCTGTTCCCCGAGGCCCAGGTTCAAGAACTTGCTCTACTCAATCCTATATGCAATCTAGAATTCCCACTTTCGAGTTCAACTCTAGATTCGTAGATAGTATTCAATTGGTGATCAAGGAATCAAATAATTAAGTGCAAGATTAAATAAATAAACCAATATGATAAATTAAGAAATTAACACCAATATCCGAATAACAATAGTCATGAAAGAACCACAACCCTAGAACATGAAGTTTAGCTCCACATAGACATGGTAGCAAAACAACAAATCATACAAAGAAACATAAAAAGACTAAGTTGGTGGAAGAAAAGATGAAACCCGGCCTCCACGGCGGCTCTGTGCTTGTGTTTTCCTCTCAAAAACGTCCTCCTCCTCTCAAAATACCGTTTTTCCATGTATATATACCAAGTAGGGTTGGGCCCAAACAATTATACCTTCTCCAATGTGAAAAGGGACATTTTTCCCGAGTGACTAGCGCGAGCTCGCGCATCCTTCGCGCATGACTTCTGACATTCTGCCTCCAACTCCTTAACTCGCGCGAGTTCGCGCATTTTTCACCCTGTTCCGTTCCGAATTTGGAAAAACGTAAAACATGAAAGTTGTAGCCCTTTGAGTTAACTTTCCAACCATATATTGGGGAGCCAAAATGGAGTTCTGAGAAAAACGTGATATCTATTTTACTAGACAGTGCGCAATCTGCCTACTGATGTCTTCGTTTGCTCTAACTATCATCTGTTGACCCCCCAACACGATCCCGGCTTAATTCCTTGAATTTTCACTCAAACTTTAAAGCTCCAAATCACTTGAATTCATTCCATAATATCTACATAGCTCGGAATCACTCCTACAAGGCATAAAACACACCATTAGTGCAAAACACTAGCGATTAAAGCTCAAACTCAATTAAAGTGCAGTAAATTAGAGTGTAATAATCAACTAAAATACGTAATTATAGCGTATCATCACGTTCACGAAGAAGAAAATTTCTGTTACGCAGGTCTGACTTCGTAGGCTCATATCTCACAATCTATAAGAAATTTGGAGATGATACAAAAATGAAAGTAGTAGCACTTTGTGTCTAGTTTTCAGAAAGGTAAATCAGTTAGCATTTTGATTTATGTACAAAAAGTTATGGCTGGTACACTATAGGCTATCCAGGAAGATGAAGAAGAAATTTGTGTTGCACAGGGTTGACTTTGGCAGCTTATATCTCAAAATCTATAAGGAATGGAGAGATGACCAAAATATGGAAGTTGTAGATCTTGGTGTCTAGTTTTCAAAATATTAAACCATCTGTCGTTTGGAGTTTTTTACAAAACGTTATGGCCATTATACTAGCGGCTATCTGAGAAGAGTTTGGAAATGACTTTTGAGAATTTTGTTCATCGCGAACGCGATGGTGGGCTCGCGAACGCGAAGAAGGATCGCCTGGGCAGTGTATAAGTTTGCAAAAATGGGTTTGGCTCACTTCATCTCATTTCCTCCATGGGAGGCGACCTAGGAGCGATTTTGGAGCTCCACCTTCATCATCCATGTCAAGGTAAGTGATTCCCACATATTGCAAGTTAAATACTTGGATTTTATATATATATATGTTAACATGGAAATTCATGGAAAATTAGTGAAAACTTGGGGTTTTGGTAGAAAACCTAGAAATTGGTATTTTTGAATTTTGACCACGAATTTGGGCATGAAATTGAGAGTAAATTATATATTTGAGTTCGTGAGGTT